TCCACTGCTGTGGAAACAGCCTAGTTGCCCCTCCCTCAGGCTATGGTTCGGCAAGGTTAATGAGATATACGTAATGGAGAACTTGACCTCTACGCTACAGAACACTGAGGAGCCTTTTCGGGCTACTTGGAGACCCTGGGCCTCTTTTCAGGACACAGACACCTACCACCAGGCCATGATCACAACGCCCCCCTGAGTTCTAGCGGGGACTGGAACACTACGCTCCCGACCCACAACTTTGCTGCTTTTACCTTTCCTGGCTCCTCTCCCCTTGGCTCTCTTACCACTCGCCTCACCCTACCTGCCCCTCCTTTCTACCCTAACCCACACACCTCCACCCTAGTCTATCGCTATTGATGCCATACATAAGCAAATTCTTGTTCTACATGTTCTTGAGCGCCAGAAATTGCCAACCAACTCATGTTTGCTTCTCAATGCCAATTGTCCTTCTACCTGAGGCCGTGTTAGGCATACGCCAACCTCGTACCCTAATACCTGATTCCCGACTGTATTGACCATGTTGTCTGCATTTCTCCGGTTACTGTTTCATTATAGTACAAAAGGTTATCATGGCCATGTAACGCATACTATGCTGAACTGCGTAGCCTTCCTATGTACGCAATACGTGTAATGGGACAATTGTACCTTTTTATCCCAGATGTACATTGAAGACGCGGTCATGTTGTTGAGACATTGTCTCCTTATGTCATTGTATCACTCCTATGTACAATAAAGCTGATCTTTGATATTAAATAAATAAATAAATAAATGAACATAGTAGCAGCTGTGGACAAGGTTCAATAGACTACTGGATGAGGAAAGGTAAATTAAAACAAAAATGTATATTGCCTTAAAATTGAATACAATGTATATGGAATAAGTTAAGTGATTTTATCAAAAGTCTGGACTTTTTAATAACTATTTTATTTAACCCTCACTCATTCAGAAGGGAGGGGGGCGGCATCTGGGTGCCCCCTTAATTAAAGGGGTACCCTGATGCAAATAAGCCCCCTTGTCCGCAGACCCCCACAACCAACGGGTCAGGGTTGTGGGGAAGAGGCCCTTGTCCCCATTGGTATGGGGACACGCTCCCAATGCCGAGGGCACGTGTCCTGGTAAGGCACAAGGAGGGGGAATCGCTCGATCGTCGTCCCCCCTTTCCTGCCCTGCCGGGCCAGTGCTCAGATAAAGGGTCTGGTAGGAATGTTAGGGGGGGCCCCACGTTTTTTCCCTATTATTTGGGGTTGGGGTTCCCCCTACCAGACCTAAAGGGCGTGGTATGAATTTGGGGGGGAACCCCACGCAATTTTTTTTTGTTTTAACTTGGGGGAGGGTGTCTCCTAACATTCCTACCAGACCTAAAGGGTCTGGTATGAATTGGGGGAGAACCTCACGCTTTTCTTCCTCTTCTGCAGACAAAAAATATAAATATTTTTTTTTCCTGTAATTTTGCTGCAACTAAATTTCGTCCAGACTACCGCTAACGAATTTCGGAATCGGACATTCGGATTCGTTTGCATTCGTTATAACTGTAATTCGGAATTAGGATACATCCGAATTTCCGAAATTTTGTCAGAATGTCTATTCGGAACAAATCGCACATGTCTAATAAACGGTAGACATGTGGACCATCAAAAAAATAGTTTTGTTTCATTTTGATTCGGATTTTGCTTTATTACGTTTTTCGGAATTCGGGTCCGAAAGTCAATTAGTTTTGGAATTCGGACGAAATTCGTTAGCGGTAATCCCTACGAAAATTCGTTTCTAATTAGTTCCGTTTGTTTGTTGCAGCAAAGTGACATTTAAGAGGAAAAAAAAGTTTTTTTTGTTCTCAAATGTCACTTTGCTGCAACGAAAATACATCCAAAAAACGAAAGTTCGTCCAAAAAAAAACACATCGGAAATTCGGATTCGTTTGCATTCGTTATATCTGTAATTCGGATACATCCGAACCTCCAAATTTCGTCCGAATTTCGATTCGGGACAAAACGAAATCGCACATGTCTAATAAACGGCCCTTTCCTGCTAAATCAGCTGAAATTCCATCTATGGGTAGCCCCGCCAGTACCATCTGGCTCAACAAAATTTACTTTTTTTAATTGATTTTCTCAATGGAGCTAGGTGGAAAATTGGCAAATAAATCAGCTGCAGTCACTGTTTGGAATTCTGACAGCCATGGGTGCCAGCTGTCAGCATACAGTATCCGTGCTCTTTAGTGTGGATGGGGAAATTGAGTGACTTTTCTCATTCACCCTGTGGGGCTTGACAATGAGCTTAGAAACACAGTATGTGGTATGATTGTGGGTGGAACTGTAAGAAAATATTTGTGTTGTACTGGATTGTTGGAAGTCAGATTTAATTGAAGTTGTGGTCATTTTGTCAAGCAGGAATAAGGCTGGCTTGGTAGGTAAAGAGATGGTTTACAAGAAAACAGATGGTTAGGACAGGTAGGAACACAGAGTAAAATTTTCAGTGGAGATGGGCATCAAAGCCTGCTTGTTCAACAGGGTATAAACTTTATTGGCAGCAAGTTTCAACCAAGAAAACACAATGATCATTTGGTTCCCTCTAGTGGGCCTACAGAGCAGTGGAATAATATTCATCATTTTAGTGTCATAAGTGGGAGAAATTAAGAAATAAAATGTATATTTTTTTATCTACAGTACCACTATTTATTTTAAACCTAACACTGGTTAGAATAGAAAAAAAAATAATAATTTTCCCATAGATTGCATATACGATAAACAGATATTAACCACATACAGTTACTAGAATATAATTATTTACATTATTGTGGGTCTTAATGCGACAGAATGATCCCAATATCCGTTCTCTACATTGCACCTATGTTCTCCAAGTATTGTGCATAGGGAACATTGCACATGCAGCAATCTGCACAAGCAGATTAGCCTGCTCCAATGTCTCTGGTTGGTAAGGAGTTAGAATTTTTGATTTGTTGATATTTATTAAAACTGATTAGAGCTCCAGATGTTTCACATTTTCTTAAACCAGAGGAATGTGTTATGCTACGAGTGGCCATGTGTCAGGTCATCTGCAAAGGCCAGTTTGTATCTTAGCTGATAATTCTGCCTCTGCTAAGCAATTTTAGTATCTTTTTTTTTTAGATTCTTTAGTCTTAGATAAATAAATAAAAAAATCCCAAATTCAGGTAATAATGAGAAGTAACAAAATAGACGTCATTGATGTATAATACTTATGTACAACAACTCAACCCAATTATGCTAGGAATTAACTCAGAAGGCCAGAAACATAACCAAATCAGGAGTCTTGGGAGCATGAGGAACTTGGCATGTAGGGATTAGTATATTTTATGCCACCTCTGCATTATTAATGAGCAAGAACATTTACAGGTAAAATTTACTCAATATGATCATAACAGGGTCTTCTAAAGGTTACATTGAATTAAGCATTGTAAAAAGAAAAGGAAAGTGCTTGTGCATTGAAAGAGGCTCATGTAGGTCACATTACAAATATCCTGAAAAGGAGGCTCGTCTCTAAGAGACATAAGCAGGAAGAAACAAGTGAACCTTCCTCAAACATTCAGATAGGAGAGGAAGAAAAAGAAACAAAGGAGAAGAGAGAGAGAGAGAGAGAGAGAGAGAGAGAGAGAGAGAGGGGTAGGAAAGAAAGAAAAGACAGAAAACTCTAAAAAGGGCCAAAGGAATGCTGAAGAAGAGTAAAAAGTCAACAAAGAGGGACCTAAGGGAGTGGAGAGATTCCTCTCCCCTCCCCCAACCCCCTAGCACCATGCATGCAATTCCATTGTGGATGTAGGCACAAATCAATCACTACAAGTCCTTACCCTGGAGTGCGTCACATTCAGGGGTAGAGATAAACTAATTTCAGTAGAGCACTATCCTTTTCTTTTTACAATGCTTAATTCAATGTAACCTTTAGAAGACCCTGTTATGATCATATTGAGTAAATTTTACCTGTAAATGTTCTTGCTCATTAATAATGCAGAGGTGGCATAAAATATACTAATCCCTACATGCCAAGTTCCTCAGGCTCCCAAGACTCCTGATTTGGCTATGTTTCTGGCCCTCTGAGTTACTTCCTAGCATAATTGGGTTGAGTTGTTGTACATAAGTATTATACATCAATGACGTCTATTTTGTTACTTCTCATTATTACCTGAATTTGGGATTTTTTTATTTATTTATCTAAGACTAAAGAATCTAAAAAAAAAAGATACTAAAATTGCTTAGCAGAGGCAGAATTATCAGCTAAGATACAAACTGGCCTTTGCAGATGACCTGACACATGGGCACTCTCTCCTTTGACGTCATGCCAAGTATAACCAATAAATAAAGCCCCAAGGTCCATGCATTTGCTATAATTTACCTTTGCCATCCACAGTGCAACAGAGGGTGCCTGGGGCTGATTACACCGCACTGGAATGTAGCCTTGAAAGAGGCTCATGTAGGTCATATTACAAATATCCTGAAAATGAGGCAGGAAGAAACAAGTGAACCTTCCTCAAGCATTTAGATAGGAGAGAGGAAGAAAAAGTACATAAGAGGCAACTGGAAAATTAAATAGGGTACATTTAGTTATGCATTTTAGCACAGTTGTATTACCCTGAAAATCAGTTTGTTTTTTTGCTTCAAAACCGTGAACCTAATTTCTTTATTAGTTAGCCTAACATTACATCCAACTGTTAATATTTCAGAAAACAATGGATTTTAAATCAAAGAGCGACAGTAGATTGTAAACAACTACTACAATATTAAAATAACTTTCAGCATTTACCTATATCATTACATTCAATGAATTACAGGAATACACATCTGGTTAACATTTTATTCTGTAAATATATAAAGGGCTGGAATTTACATAAACACATATGATTCGTTTCTAAGATGGTCGATGCTTCTTTATAGGTTACATGGACCTGAATATGTACACACAATTTTGTATTTTTCTTGTAGAATTAATTGTTCATGCCTTCATATTGAAAACACTGTTTTTCTTCACAGAAACTGCATCAGATGATTTTTTTAAGAGATTTCCAGTTATGGATGTTGTTGGATCTTCTCAGTGCTACCAGCCTGGTGCTTTGATAACCCCAGACAACTCCTCTTTGCAAGATAATTCCCCCATTATACCCTCAAAGCCAAATAATAAGATTAAAGTCTCTAAAACCAATACACACCCTTTAGCAGGGAATGCATTTCAAGTTCGGGACCCAAATCATCATGACATTCGAAGACAAGTTTATGCCGGCAAGAGACAGTTCAGCATTGAAAAGCTCCCTGAATTATTCAGCCATCAAGGTCATTATAACAGCACACCTCGCCACTTCCCAAGCAACAGCAAGACAGAGGTCACTGTTTGAAGACTACTGTTACATATATCCTATCACTAAAAATAAATAATTTGGATGGCAATAACTTGCTGCATTATTTTTGTGCTCTCAGTTTTGGTTTTGATAGACTTTTTTTGACTGAAAAACAGCATGAAAATAAACAAAAAATATAGGAGAGCATTCCTAAACATAAAAAGCAGAGGCGCAAAGAGATCAGGAGGAACTGTAAACTAAAAACTGCAGTCTTAAATTATGGGAATACTGAAAACAGACTGTGGAATACAATCTTGCTTTGTTTCCTAACAACCCTGACCTGTACTGTTACAAACTAATTTCTCCACGTTTTGGAAATGATTTCCATGTGCATTGGTTTGACATGTTTTTGTTATAGCTAAAATAGTACTACATTTGGGTGAGCCTTAGCTGACCAGGGAAAAGCAGAAACTTGTTTTGAAAGCATTCATTGTGGAACAATAAAGACACTGAAAATGAGAACATTGCAAGGATGTTGTTACATTTAAATAGAATATCAAATACCTATTTTATATCATATAATGTTCCTTAAATACATAGTTTTGCAACTGCTTTGCCAAACAATACAATATTTTATTTTTCAATAATTGCCTTAGTAGCTACATTGGAAAAACCTAAACATTTAAGGGATCACTATAATTTTGTATAGTTAACTTTTAAAGTGACACTAAACTCAGGATTTAAATGTTAAAAATCCATTCAAGTACCCCATCAACAAAAATTTAGTTTATTTGTGTATCACCCAGCTGTAGATCCCCAGATCATCTCTGAAGTAGCGCTGATACTGTCCTTCCATCTGGAGGGGGGCTACTTTTCTTTCCGATCGACCTTGTTTGTGTTGTAACGTCGCTACTGCTCCAAGCTCATTCCCATATTGGACTACAATTTCAATACAAATTAGTAAACTAAACGTGTGGTTATAAACCATCATGGGAGTGAGCTTGGAGTGGTGGCTACTTTACAACACACATAGGAACCACAGGGAACAAAAAGTAGCCACCCTCTGGAAAGGATAGTGTCAGCACAGATTCAGAGATGATGAGGATTAAGAACAAAACAAACATTAATTCCTATTGAGAGGGTATTGTAGGGAATTTGCAACATTAGTTATGTGCCAGATTTGTGTGGATCTGGCAGGATGTGAATAGGCGAGTATAAGCCTTTCAGGAATTGCTAGGAGAAATGTCCCAATGGACAGTTTTCCAATCATTTCCAGCCTTCCTGGTGAAATTGGAAATCTCTCCTCAAAGACACCCTCAAAGTCAATCACTTGATAGAGGCCATCACTGGTAAAGGAAGTAAATAAAAAATCTTTCCAATGGGAGCACAGACAGCAATCGAAACCCAACTTAAATTTTAACCTTTTCCGCTCTGTCAAAAGAAAAAAAAAGAAAAAATGGAAATGGTTGGATGAAAAAACAGGCAGTTCGAACCGTAGTGACAGTTGTTCAAATAAGAGTTTTTACCCTTAGGCTGGGTTCCCACCTAGGCGGTTTTCCGCGCTTTCGTACTCGCGGAAAACCGCTCAAGCAGGGAAATGCCATTATTTTCAATGTGTATGGTTCCCATCTGTGCGGTTTTCTGCGAGTACGAACGCGCGGGAAACCGCCCTACGCCCAAAGAAGTACATGTACTTCTTTGGGGCGTTTTGGTCGGGCGGTTCCATTGGGATACAGCCAAGTATCCCTCGGAAACGTGCGTTTGCCGCGCTGTTTTTTTCCCGCGAATCGCGGTAAAAAAAACGAGCGGAAAACGCGCATATTCAATCCGCCCAGGTGGGAACCCAGCCTTACAGTTAACCCAGCCTTACAGTGGGATTGGAGATATACACACACACACATTGTGTGTATATATATATATATATATATATATTATAACAAAGTGGAAGCAACTGGGAACAACAGCAACTCAGCCAGGAAGTGGTAGGCCACATAAAATGACAGAGCGGGGTCAGCGCATGCTGAAGCAAACAGTGCGCAGAAGTCGCCAACTGTCTGCAGAGTCAATAACTACGGACTTCCAAACTTCGTGTGGCCTTTAGATTGGCACAACAACAGTGTGTAGAGAGCTGCATGGAATGCGTTTCCATGGCTGAGCAGCTGCATCCAAGCCTTACATCACCAAGTGCAATGCAAAGCGCCGGATGCAGTGCTGTAAAGCACGCCGCACGCCGACTCTAGAGAAGTGGAGACGTGTTCTCTGGAGTGACCAATTGGGCGTGTCTGGGTTTGGCTGTTTCCAGGAGAACAGTACTTGCCTGACTGCAATGTGCCAAGTGTAAAGTTTGGTGGAGGGGGGATTATGGTGTGGGGTTGTTTTTCAGGGGTTGGGCTTGCCCCTTAGTTCCATTGAAGAGAACTCTTAAGGCATCAGCATATCAAGACATTTTGGACAATTTGATGCTCCCAACTTCGTGGGAACAGTTTGGGGATGACCCCTTCCTGTCCCAACATGACTGCGCACCAGTGCACAAAGCAAGGTCCATAAAAAAAAACGGAGACTGCGAGCCAGGCCTTCTCGTCCAACATCAGTACAACTCCTCCCCCTTCCCTTCTTTCCCCGATGGAGCTGCTTGGGCCGGTGAGTACACATTCCGGCTGGGAGAGAAACACTTTTTACTGGAAAGGTTTAATCTGAGTCAGAAAAGGAAAAAAAGGCATACGATTGCGTAGCTAGATTCCTATTTGCTATTGCACTTTGCAATAGCCAATACGTTATAATTAATCAAAATTAAATCGATTTTAAAAAATTTCGATTAATCTAACAGGAAAATTTTAAATCATTACCAGCCCTAATTTTTATTTGGATTACATGTAATGGACTTACATGAAATAGTCCAAAATGGTGACTTGAAATCAAGAAAATAACTTGTTTAAAAAAAATATGGAAAAGTGGTGCGTGCATATGGATTTATAAAGCCCTACATAAGATCTGGTGCAACCAATTACTTTCAGAAAGCACGTAACTAGATTGCACACAAGTGGTCTCTATTTAACGAGTATATACACTGAGTGGCCAGATTATTATGACCACCCAATCAGTACTTCGTTGGGCCACCTTTTGCCTTCAATACTGCGATGATTCTTCTTGGCATTGACTCCACGAGATGTTGAAAGGTTATGCGAGGAATCTGACACCATGCCTGATGAATAGCACTGTCCAGTTCTGTGAGATTTGAGGTTTGTGGAACCAGCTGCCTGATGGCTCTTTCAACTTCGTCCCACAAATGCTCAATTGGATTGAGATCTGGTGATTGTGGAGGCCACCTAAGAAGGTAAATTCTCCCTCATGTTCTTGAAACCACTCCTGCACAATACGAGCACCGTGGCATGGCGCATTGTCTTGTTGGAAGAAGCCATCTCCATTGGGATACGCAATCAACATGATAGGATGAACTTGATCAGCAACGATACTTTGGTATGTTGTGCTATTCAGACGTTGTTTCACACGAATTAAAGGGCCCAAATCATGCCAGGAAAACATTTCCCAAACCATAACACTGCCCCCCACCAGCTTGAAGGGTTGTAGTTCAAGAGCAGCTGTTGTCAAACGAATTCTGCTGTTCTGCTGATACTCGCTCCATGGCTCCGAGCGCCAACAATCATCCCACGTTCAAAGGCTGTTAAATCGCATTGTTTACCCATATCTTCAGGGAAACAAAATCACTTCTACTGTCTTGGTAAACAACCTGCTTCCCTATTTATAATGGTCTGACCCTCTAGCAACTTCAGTGCAAAATTATAGATAGTTTGCCTACAAACATCAGGTGGTCATAATAATCTGGCCACTCCGTGTATACAAACCTGTTTTGAAAGGCCCCAGAGTCTGCAATACCACTGAGCAAACCGCTTGTACCACCAAGCAAGCGGCACCATGAAGACCAAGGAGCTCTACAAGCAGGTCAGGGACAAAGTTGTGGAGAAGTACAGATCAGGGTTGGGTAATAAAAAAAAGTATCCGAAACTTTTAACATCCCACCGAGCACCATTAAATCTATTATTCAAAAATGGAAAATATAGCACCACAATAAACCTGCCAAGACAGGGCCGGCCTCCAAAACTCACGGACCAGACCAGGCATCAAGCAGAGCGGCAACAAAGAGACCAAAGATAACCCCGAGGGAGCTGCAAAGCTCTACATCGAAGATTGGAGTATCTGTCCCAAGAACCACTTTAAGCCGTACACTCCACAGAGCTGGCCTTCATGGAAGAGCGGCCAGAAAAAAAAGTCATTGCTTACAGAAAAAAAATTAAATAAAACAAGCGAACATGAAGGTACTCTGGTCAGATGAGATTAAAATTGAGCTTTTTGGCTTTCAAGGAAAACGCTATGTCTGGTGCAAAAGGCTTCTCATCACCCCGGGAACACCATCCCCACAGTGAAGCATGGTGGTGACAGCATAATGCTGTGGAGATGTTTTTCCATTGGCAGGTACTGGCAAACTGGCCAGGATTGAAGGAATGATGGCACTAAATACAGGAAAATTCTTAAAGGAAATATGTTTCAGTCTGCCCGAGATTGGAGGTTCACCTTCCAGCAGGACAATGACAATAAGCATTCTGCTAAAGCAACACTCGAGTGGTTTAAGGAGAAACATTAAAATGTGTTAGAATGGCCTAGTCAAAGCCCAGACCTCAATCCAATTGAGAATCTGTGGCATGATTTAAAGATTGCTGTACACCAGCAAAACCCATCCAACCTGAAGGAGCTGGAGCAATTTTGCCTTAAAGATTGGGTAAAAATCCCAGTTGCTAGATGTGCCAAGTGCTGCCAAAGGGGGCTCCATAAAGTATTGACATGTGGGGGGTGCACGCTCAAGTTTTTTTGTCTTATTTCTTGTTTGTATCACAATAAAAAATATTTTGCACCTTTAAAGTGGTAGGCATGTTGTGTAAATCAAATGATACAAACCCCTCAAAAATCCATTCTAAATTCCAGGTGGTAATGCAACAAAATAGGAAAAATGCCAAGGGGGTGAATACTTTTGAAAGCCACTG